TTGGGGGTGGGGTAGAGGGGTTTTGCCATTTCCTCTGACCCTGAGAACTCTCATTCTTAATTCCAGGTACTACTTTTAGGGCCATAGTGCCTTGACTCTTTCAGTGGCGGGGACCTCCACCCAGGCCCCCAGGTTTCCCTAATACAAGCCCCAAGGCCTCTTTCCACTGAGGGTTTCCTGCCCGTTCTGCAAGGAGCCTGGGGAGGCTCACTGCCAAATAAGGGAGCTGAGGACATTCAGGATTCTCAGCCTCTATCCCTGCTGTGTGCTTCCCGAGCCCCTCTCTGATGATTTCTTCACTCTGTTTTCCCTGCAGCAGGAGGTCTCCAAACACATCCATCCCCTGGTTTCTGATCCCCTCTTCCAGGAAGCCCTCCATGCTAGCACAAACATGAAACAATGATGTGTGAGCCCACGGTTCACTTCAGCACCGTACCCTGCCCCTCACAGGCCAAAATTGGGCTTTCTTTCCTCTCCTCTTCTCTAAGAAGGCCTCCTCCCAAGCTTCTTGGTTCACCACTGTCTCCTGCCCACTAGCAGAGCCATTTCTCATTCAGTTACTAAGATCACAGGATTTGGAATCAGACAGACCCGTGTTTAAATCTCTGCCTTCTTAGTTTGGATTCCCCAGCAGCAGACCCACAGATAAGAATTTGAATGCCAGTGATATATTTACAAGGAACAGGGAAATTGGGCAGAGAGGAAAAGTGGGACAGGGATGGGAAGGGAGAGCCACTAAATCTGATGATCATTGACTCTTTATCCTACAGAGAAACTGCAGAGCACATGCCTCAGGGGGATCCCACTCCAGGGTGAGGGAGCTGGGGTATCTATACACCAACTTCCCTGGCACTTCTAGCCTTCTACGGGTGGAAGTGGGGAAGCCTCCAGGCACAGAGATGCAGATACAGATAGATGCCACTGGAGCTTCCTAAAGGTCTGAGAGAGGTGGCCAGGCCACTGACAGTGTCTGCTGTGACTCCTCTGCCAGTGACTAGCTAAGCTATGTGACCTTGGGCAAGTTACTCCACCTCTCTGAGCCTTAATTTCCTCATCTGCAAAGTCTAGGCAACAATCCCAGCTGTAGGGGCTGGGGGTAAGCAAGGATATGAGATCAGGCATGAAAAGCCCTTAGTACAGAGTGGGATGGAGCGGGGAACACGTGGTGGGCATTCAGCAGGCTCAGCCGAGATCTGACCATTTTAACTTTAATCTTACCTTGGTTCTTCTCTGCTTTGCTTTCTGATCCTGACATTTGTTTTTTGAGCAGTGCCCTAGATTCTGCCTCATGGTGTGCCCCACAGCAAAGTGTTTGAAGTGAACGCATCTAAGCTGCCAAGAGTATCCACAGCTCAAACGACTCCTGTCCACGGTCACCGCCCTGCCTCGGCTCCTTCTAGCCAGGACTGTCCTCCCTCAGGCCAGTGGCTAACCCAGGCCTGGCCTTGAGCTGGGTTTTCCCTGCCTGCCTGGAACTCCCGTCTCTTTCTTTCTTTCTTAGCATCCCACCCCGACTGGGAAAGCTGTGGGGAGAGCTGCGTGCAGGGGCTTGCTACCCTGAGACACCAGACTCAGTTTCCTCATCTGTAACGTGTTTGTGGGAGAATGCAGGGTGCAGTGGGGGGTGGGGGCTGGCCTGACTCATCTCCAGGGATTCTTTTTCCTCTTGCAGCCCACGAATCTGTCGTAGGAGGTACCCACAAACAGGCCACTTACGGGCAGGGTATCTCTCATGGCGGCAGTCTAAGTGAAAGTCCTCCTCCTCGCTCCCGTCCCTCTTCTCCATCCTGGAAAGAGAAAAAAAAAAAAAAAAACCTGGGTAGGAAAGAGAAGGATGAGTGGGCAGAGACCCAGGATCTGAAAAAGTGCAGTCTTCCCTTCTTTGGAGAACACTTTGCAAAGTAACTTTCCACCTGCCGCCCTGCGAGATTTTGACCACAACCCCGTGAGATGGGCATCATTACTCCCATTCTATTGATGAAGAAACTGAGGCTTTTGGAAGTGATGTGACCAACCCAGTGCCATGTAGCTGATCAATCAGAGGCGGAATAGGGAGGCAAACCCATCATTCTGTCAAAAAGAGGAGCATCAATTATGTGCGAATGGTATATTACAAAAGATGTTTACAGTTTCATTTGTTTTCAGAATTATACATCGAAATGCACAGAAATTATTTTGGCAAAATATACACCAAAAGGTTAATGGTGATTATCCCTACATAATGAATATAGGGAATTAACTCCAGAGGCTTCTTTTTGACTACTTTATTTTCTGATGGAGGGCAACAGGCTTTTATTCGCTAAGCAGCACCTTTTTTCCCCAGAGACAAGGTCTCACTCTGTCGCCCAGGCTGGAGTACAATAGCACAATCGGAGCTTGCTGCAGCCTCCAACATCCTGGGCTTAAGCAATCCTCCCACCTTACCTTTCCAAGTAGGTGGGACTACAAGTGTGTGTTACCATATCCAGCTAATTTTAAATTTTTCTATAGAGATGGGGTCTTGCTGTGTTGTCCAGGCTGATCTCAAACTCCTGGCTTCAAGGGATCCTCCTGCGTCTGCCTCCCAAAATGCTGGGATTATAGGCATGAGCCACTGTGCTCGCCTCTGGGAAGCATTTCTTAACTATATTTAAACACACCTTTTTTGTTTGTTTGTTTGTTTGTTTGTTTGTTTTTGACACAGAGTCTCACTCTGTTGCCCAGGCTGGAGTGCAGTGGCATGGTCTTGGCTCATTGCACCCTCCATCTCCCAGGCTCAAGCGATTCTCCTGCCTCAGCGTCCCAAGTAGCTGGGATTACAGGCATCCGCCACTGCGCCCAGCTAATTTTTGCATTTTTATTAGAGACAGGGTTTCACCATGCTGGCCAGGCTGGTCTCGAACTCCTGACCTCAGGTGATCCACCCACCTCAGCCTCCCAATAAAACACTTTCTAAAGATAACTCTGCATACTATCAAAGCCCCTGTCTCCCAAATTCTGGCACAGTGTTCTTTCCCACCAACAATTGCAAGAACTTCTCAGTGTGGTTTCTCTCTCCTCCATCATCTCAGGGTTGCAGTGGTCCCAGAGGGAGCAGCCTCTGAGGGGTGGCAGCAAAGGAGAAGCATGGAGCAGAGGCTGCTGAGGACCTGGACAGTGGAGGCAGGCACCTGGCCTCTGACACAGCTCCAAACTTAGACCCTCACACGCGTCCCACTGATGGCTGGGCCTGAGAATGGGTGGGGCCGTGTTTCCTCATCGCACACATGCATTTGTAACCCAGGTAAATTCCTGAGCTCCACACAGTCCAGTCCAAAGGGGCATCACATTATAGAAACACAATCTAATCCTCTCAAGTAAGAACAACTCCAGACTGGGCGTGGTGGCTCATGTCCATTTTCCTAGCATTTTGGGAGGCCAAGGCAGGAGGATCACTCGAGGCCAGGAGTTCAAGACCAGCCCAGGCAACATAGCAAGATCGTCATCTCTAGAAAACATCAAAAAAGAAGCCAGTGCATGCTGGAGTGGTGGTGTGCGCTTCTAGTCCCAGCTACTCAGGAGGCTGAGGCAGGAGGATTGCTTGAGCCCAGGATATCAAGGCTACAGTGAGCCATGATTACACCACTGCACTCCAGCCTGGGCGATATAGCAAGAACCCCATCTCTAGAAGAAATTTAAAAATAAGCCAGCACATGTGGTGTGGTGGTGTGTGCCTCTGGTCTCAGCTATGGTCTGGGCTGAGGTGGGAGGATTGCTTGAGCCCAGGAGATCGAGGTTGCAGTAAACTGTTATTACACCACTACACTCCAGCCCAAGCAACAAATGAGACCCCGTCTGAGAAAAAAAAAAAAAAATGCCCAATCATTATTGTCTCTCCTAAAGCACACAGTAGGTGCTCCAACCCACACAGCTTGACATTTTTCCTCCATCCCTCTCTTTTCTCTCACTTGTCTTGCAGCTGTCCTAAAATGTCTCTCAGTCTGTCTTCGTCTCATTCTCAACACTTCCCCTAAACTCCCTTCAATGTCCTTGGTGTGGCATTTTCCCTTTTCCCCACCCTCCCTGTCTTTCCACTGCTATCTCCTCTTCTCTCATGCAAGGAAGGCTCAATCCTTTCCAAAGTAAATGCCCTATCTCTGTTCCCTGACTCTTCCCATCACCTCTTATTCCTAGTTGCACATCCAGGAAGCCTGAGCTGAAGGAGAAGACAGGGGAAAGTGAGAGTGACAAACTAGCAATGCCAAAGTATCCTTAGTAGAAGGGAGAGAGATACTCATATATTGATAATCGCCAATCATTCATTCATTCATTCGCTCATTCACCAGGAACTTCCTGAGGACCTTCTCTGTTGGCACCAGATGCTGTGTGGAGGACAGGAATGTCTATTTCATAACCTCTGCCCTCAGAGTTCTTCCAGCCTAGTAGGGAAGACAAGCTTGCACCCTAGTTAGAAAATGGCAGGTGAGGCTGGGTGTGGTGGCTCATGCCTGTAATCCCAGTGTTTGGGAGTCTGCAGCAGGCAGATTGCTTGAGCCCAAGAGTTTGAGACCAGCCTGGGCAACATGGTGAAACTCTGTCTTTACAAATACTAGCTGGGTGTGGTGATGTGTTCCTGTGGTCCCAGCTATCTAGGAAGCTGAGGTGGGAGGATCACTTGAGCCCAGGAGACAGAGGCTATAGTGAGCCATGATCTCATCACCTTACTTCAGTGTGGGTAACAGAGTGATACCCTGTCTCAAAAAGTAAAAAAGGTCAGGTGTTGAATAACACTACACAAGGACTGTCTGCACCAAGGGGCTAGGGCTGTACTTCCCAGGAAACATACTCTGAACATTTTCTGCTTATAAATTTTGCCTGTAGCCTGGGTGGCCCTAGACCAAAGGAATGTGTGTTGATGCCATAGAAAGACAAATTTCAGTTCAACAAAAGGATAATGTCTTTTTTTTTTAAGTCTTTTTTTTTTTTTTTTTTTTTAAGATGGAGTCTCACTCTGTTGTCCAGGTTGGAGTATAGTGGTGCGATCTCAGCTCATCACAACCTCCTCCTCCTGGGTTCAAGCAATTCTCCTGCCTCAGCCTCTCAAGTAGCTGGGATCACAGGCGTGTGCCACCACACTCAGCTAATTCTGTATTTGTAGTAGAGACGGGGGTCCCACCATGTTGCGCCACCAGGCTGGTCTCGAACTCCTGACCTCAGGTGATCCACCCACCTTGGCCTCCCAAAGTGCTGGGATTACAGGCGTGGGCCACCGTGGCCGGCCCAAAAAAGTCTTTTAATAAAAAATCTTGGCTATTTTCCTGATAACACAAGCTTGTTTCAAAAACAAGCAAACAAAAAACCTCCAACACTAGAGACAGCAAAAGTCCCCCTATAATCACATCTACATGTAATGGGATCAACATTGTTAGCAGTTTGGTACTTTTTTTTTTCAGAACTAATACTTTTTCTACACAAATAGACTCAAATTAAACACATTTTTGAACCTGATTTTCTTTTTAACTATCCAGAAATTTTTCATTTGAGTACACCTAGATCTCACTCACCTTTTTTTTTCTTATAGCTGTATATAAAAGAATAATTAATATTCAATACCCCCATTGGTAGACATCTAGGTGTTTCCTCATTTTTGTTGACTCTTCCAAATAATGGTGCATGTGGTGAGTTTCCATCAGCAGAGGTGCTTAGGACTAGAGTATCGCCAATCATGAAGTCATAACTGAACTCAAACATTAAATGGGAGGGTGGACCAGATAACAGCCCCGTCCTCACCCTAGAACACCACCTCCCTGGCCACGTCCAGCACCTCTAAGTCAACAGAGGTCAGTCCTATTACATAAAGGGCTTCCAACATCCTCCTGCTTTTCACAGCCTTGACCATGAACCAACCCCTCCATCCATCCTTGGCTCCCAATTCTCCTGGTTTCTTTTCATTGTTATTGCTATTGAGATGGAGTCTCGCTCTGTCGGCCAGGCTGGCATGCAGTGGTGTGATCTTGGCTCACTGCAACTTCCACCTCCTGGGTTCAGGCAATCCTTCTGCCTCAGCCTTCCAAGTAGCTGGAATTACAGGTGTGTGCCACCATGCTTGGCTAATTTTTTTATATTTTTAGTAGAGATGGGTTTTTGCCATGTTGACCAGGCTGGTCTCAAACTCCTGACCTCAGGTGATCCACCCGCCTCAGCCTCCCAAAATGCTGGGATTACAGGCATGAGCCACCATGCCTGGTCTCTCCTGGTTTCTTCTCTGAAATCTCATCTTCCTCCAGGCCTCAAGCTGGGCACCTCCTTGGCTTCTGCTGGGAGCCTCAGCCTTGGGAAGTGGGGCCCTATGAGCAAAGGGGCCGATGTCTAAGAAGATAGTCAGTCCAGCCTGGCACAATACCTTCCCTCCCTCATCACCCAAGCCTTGCTGCCCAGAACCCCCCACTCAACAGCTGACATATCCAGTAACACCTGCCAAGGAGAGACCCAGGCCTTGTGCTGGGCTTGGGGGCCAGAGGGACCAGCCAGAGAGACCCCTGCCCTCAAGGATCTCCTGTTGGTTTTACCCATACACAAATAACCGTGGCTTCATGTGCTAAGTTTCAGGCCAGGAGGATATGAAGAAGGTTGGCAGGGCCAATAATTATCTAGTCCAGGGGTTGGTGAACCTTTGCTGTAGAGGCTCAGATAGTAAATACGTGAGGCTTTGCAAGCCATATGCTCACAACTACTCAACTCTGCCCCTGCCGTGAAAGCAGACGTAGACAAGATAGAAACAAATGGGTGTGGACAGCAGCAGGTGGTGGGCGGGATTCGGTCTGTGTGG